CCTTGTCCCCCCAGGAAATTTTGGTTAACCCCGGGGGGGGGGGGGGGTAGACGCAAAGTGTATTCTCGCTTATCATGGGGCCCAACTGGAACCGGAGAAGACCAAACACATTGTTGAGTGTGTCCGTGGCTTACGTAGATTCCTCAGGTCTACATCATACTACTGGATATTCACAGAAAGATTGCCGCAATCAGTGCGCCACCTCACAAGCTTGCTCACAAAGATCGAAAATTTTCGCAAACTGTAGGATGTGATGAAGTTTTCAACCACCTTAAGAAAGCACCAGCACCTATCCTAAAATACCCAGATTTATCGGATGCTGAAGAATTTGTCTTAAACACGGACGTTGGTCAGATGGCAATAGGTACCGTCCGGTCTCAGTGTTGCTGACACAGAAGCCGTCATCGCATATGGTAGCCGCATTTTAGATAAACTTGAGCCTAACTACTGTAACACAACGTGAAATGCTTGCTCTGGTGTACTTCTTTCAACACTTCCAGCCCTACCTGCTTGGCTGGCACTTCCTTGTCAGCACGGAACATCACTTACTCCAGTGTTTGCAGAGTTACCATGATCCGTATTGTCAAGTTTCACGCTGGTAGGGTCGGAGTCAGGAATATAAACTTTTTACATGTTCCGTCCTGGTACTGGGCACTTGAATGCAGAAACCTTGTCTAGAAGACCAGCTCTGGACCTGGAGTCCCGTAGTGTGCAAGTCGCATCCAATCGACCGAACTGGAAAACAGTCACGGGACGCGGATATTGGAGAGCTTTGCCGCCTCCAGCCACAAGGTAACCCCAAACCCTTCGAACGCCTGATGGCCTCGAGATCCCCGGCAGCAGGAAGTTTTTAAGGCGGTTAGGGTAAGTGCGAATTACATCTCGAGCGCTCCACCTTGTGGACAGTCGGGATAGCCGTGCCACTGGCCCACGTAGTTGCGTCCGGCAGATCATTACAGCAGTTCACCGGGATTCGGAATTTGCTGAACAGAAGAAAACGGAATCCCACAATGGACGGCGCTACTGGTGGTTTCTGCTACACAACGATGTCATGAGTTTTTGCCGGCAGTGTTCATTGTGCGCGAAAACGAAGACGCCCGCCTTAACACCCAGAGCACGGCTCCAACCGATCCCCATGCAAGGACCAAACCATCGAGTGAATATTGGCGTTATCGGACCCTTACCGGAGACCAGAAATGGGAACCACTTCACGGTCATCATGGTGTGAATCTGTGCCAGTGAAGCAGCAAGGTACCATACGATTGCGTTGATGATATTCTACGAATAGGTGTCGCAATATGGAATACCTGTCATTTTATATTCGGATCTGGCCCGGTTTTTGTGAGTTACCCACTGAGGGCAATTTGTGCATTCCCAGAGATCCATTAGACGGTTTGGTGGAGCGAACCAAAAGAAGCACGAAAACACTAACTACCCGCATGCACCATTATGAAGAAGGGCGTTGGGATAAACACATTCAACTGTGAATTCCGGCCTGTCTATCAGCCGTAAACGAGTCAACAGGTTATGCACCAGCATTTCTACGACTCGGGTATGGCCTTCGAATGCCTCCAGACGCGGACACAGCTGTGGTCCCTGCCGAATTTACTGGCATTAATGAACACGTCCGATCACTCCGTGAAAGTCTGTTTGCGGCATTGCAATTCTTCCATAAAAACGATAGACATGCTCAGCAACACCAGGAAACTATTTACGACCGCAAATCACATGCACCTGTGTATGAAGTGGGCGACTGTGCTCTTAAGCCGTCTGAAAGCACCGCTGTGTGCGCTTGCAGAATTCCATCACGTGTGGCAAGGACCTTAAGACATGATAAGAAGAAAAAACGACACCCAAGTCACTCGTGGCCCTTCTCAGCCACATGCTGACTCTAGACAGGGTCCTGGCCTCCCTCTGTCAACGTTTTACTATCTTCTACCTGTCAGCCATAATGGTGAGATCAATACAATCGATACAAACACTCCTTTGGAGCATTGAATACATTGCTACAGCGGGCCATGGTGGCATAACGTAACTGAAACTCGACTGCACCTGCTAACATGCCTTCATTGTATAACCTGATTGTCAAACGGGATTTTACACCACTCAAGGCTAGGTCCTGCTGAGGCCGAAAAGCGTCTACAGCACACGGTTTGCCAAAGCCTCGGCACGCTTGCCGGCCCGGCTTCGGGCTCCGAAGCTTGTGGATAACTAACCAATCAGAATGCGGACTTTTGCATGAATCGCATGCCCTTCGGAGCGAGCTTTGATTGGTAGAAAGTCTGAATCAAACAGCCAATTATGGCCCAGTATTCGCCGAATGCCGGTTAGCGCTGGGGCACCCAGAAAGCGTCAAATTTTCCAGAATGTTGTCTCGGGATACACTTTATACAAGACAAGACCTGGGGAGTAAATATACCTTGTGTTCCTTCAGTAATGGTTTCTGATAGGAACGCTAGATTGGGAGTTCATATTGGGAACTGAGCTGAGCTGCTGGCAAACGGGAACCCACGGTGTCAGCAGAAGTTAGTAAGAACCAAAATTTATTGCAGTAGCCTCCTGAGTCTGCTGTTTCCTTAACTTATGCACCCGCTGTCTCACTCCTGGAGTTTAAAAGTCTTCCCTCATTCTGCCCAAACTTTTGGTCCCTTGCTTAAATGGTACGTTGACATGTTTGAGACTGCTGCGTCCAAGTTTGACGACGGATAGAAATTCAAATTATTGCTCAAAAACTCGGCACGTTGAAGCATGAACAGTACACATACTTTGCTCCCTCAATCTGCCGCGTGACCTCATCTTTGATAAAACGTCCAGAAACCTATCCCAGTTATTCGGAGATCAAACATCATTATTTGCTACCCGGTACCAATGCCTCAAACTGATCAAAGAAAAATGACGCTTCCATCATGTTTGTCAGTATTGTCAGTCGGGAATGCGAGCGCTTCAAACTCAACTCACTGGCAGGAAATCAACTTAAATACTTCGTTTTTGCACCCGGCCTCCAATCGTACTAAGATGCAGAAATCAGTATCCGACTGATCCGCGGAATTGGACAAACCCGGAAATGACGTCGAAGAGCCTCACCGCCGAATGTCAATGCTTCATGAACCTGAAGCACGACACGACTATGATTGAATAGTCACTAGTTATTTCAAGCAGCTGCGCAACCAACTGCAACGTCCCAAGAAATCAGACAAAAAGCTCGCGCGAAAACAGAGATCACCTTCAACAAGCCAGTGACACTGTTGTGAGTGACATTCTGTTCGATAATTCCGGTTTATGGTTCATAACCTTACCGAGTGCAATCGTCGTGGCCACAAAGCGGATTTAATGCGGTCTCACAGGCCGCAGCCACCCGCACGCCACCGTGTACTTCACAAGCCTGGGTCGAACTCTGTGACGGTGTCATTCAAAGTTTGCTTGCCGAAGAAATTTCGTGACCATTAACATCAACAACATCCCAGTTCATTTGCAGCCTGGTACGGGCTCTATCATCATGCTACTTAGTGAAAGGACGTGGAAGCAAATCGGCCAGCCGCATGTAAAACTGACGAATTAGTCACGTCGCCTAGATACTTGCGCCGGCCAAAAATGACCATTAGGATCCTGTAAGCCAGCCATCCTCACATTTCCTCCCACGCTGAAAACCATCACCGCACATACCCTGCCCAGGCGGGTAGCTCCTGGTTGCTTTGAACGCAAACCCAATAAGATTTTATTAGTTGGCTATCCGGAAGTCCGTGACGACATCGACCTAAGATTCAGCTTCTCATGAGAGGCCACAGCTCTCTCAAGTTACTACTGCGGCATCTGCGGTCACGATACAAGGCGAGACACTCGATTCCTTCAAACCCCTTAACAGAGAAATATCGGTGACAGGTTCGTATACGTCCAATATTCTTGAGGCAGGGCCACAGCGTTTTCACACAGACCACAATCACGCCCTTCTCCGTGCATGGTGATCCCAATACCCCCCAGCTGTATATGCCCTTCACGCAAATGAACCACCAGGCGCGTTCAACCGCCGTATCAAGAGGAACTAAAGGTGAACAATTTGCCAGTGGTTTTTGAGCTGGGTACGAGTAGTGCCGTACCATTTTGTAGTGAAAATCATGGCAAGGCAACCTGGAACATACCATGAAAGGTAAAGTTCAGCAAGTCCCAGTCCGGCTACGAATACTTACGGGAGGAAAGGTGAAGTTGCTGGGGACGAAAAATGCGAACGTCGCATATAAGGGCGTGACTGTTAACGAAAATATATATACTGCTGAAGGAAGTGGTCCAAACCTGTTAAGACGTGACTTGTCTCAACACTCCCTGAGGTTCAATCTCTCATTCACATTTATGAAGATTTATTTTCAGAGCTGAAGACTGGCAAGTTCTTCGGTGGAAAGGTGAATGTATACGTTCCGCCGGGAATACGACCGGGAGCCATGAATGGTCGGTCACTGTCCTATTCGGTGCGTCCAAGGGTCGAAGAAGAACTCAGCCGTTTGCAACGTATAGGAATAATTCAGAGTTCGGAGTTCTTAGAGTGGGCTACACCAATCGTGCCAATACTGAAACCGGAAGGTACCGTCAGAATTAGCGGTGGCTATTAGACCACGGTCATTGCCACCACACCCCCAGAACATTGCCAGTTACTTTAAATCAAAGACGTCTATGTACTAATTTGTAAGAGCGAATATTTTTTAAAAATGGATGTAGCTCACGCTTACGAGCGATTAAAGCTAACGGAGGAAGGGAATCCCGTAACAACCATCAATACTCATGGAGGTCTGTCTATGTTTAACCCCCCCTTTTGGAATCCAATCCGCGCTCTCCATGTTTCAAAGCAGAATTGAAAAGTTATTGAGGGGATACCTGAAATATTCGTCTATGTAGACGATATTCTGATAACCGGGTGTGCCATGAAAGAACATTTTAAGTCGTTGAAACTCATGCTTGATCGTTTGCAGGAGTGTAGACCCCGAAAAAAGAGAGAAGTGTGACTTCCTGGTGGATCATGCGGACCATTTGGGTCCCCCTTTTGAATCCAATCCGCGCTCTCCATGTTTCAAAGCAGAATTGAAAAGTTATTGAGGGGATACCTGAAATATTCGTCTATGTAGACGATATTCTGATAACCGGGTGTGCCATGAAAGAACATTTTAAGTCGTTGAAACTCATGCTTGATCGTTTGCAGGAGTGTAGACCCCGAAAAAAGAGAGAAGTGTGACTTCCTGGTGGATCATGCGGACCATTTGGGTTTCCGCATTAGCACGGGGGGTTTGGTCGCTCTAGCCGAGAAAATACGTTCAATATCAAAGGAACTGCAATCAAGAAATAACCATGAAGTAAGATCTTTCTTAGGCATGGTTATTCATTATGCAAGGTTTATTCAGTAAGCCGCCACACTTTTTACCCACTGAATTACTTGCTACGTCAGATGGTTAGCTGGATCTGAAATCATGAACAAGAGAAAGCAATCCAACAGATGAAACGTGCCCTTTTAAATCTTACGGTGCTCACCAATTTAGATGCAATGCAGCCCATTGTTCACGCTTGTGATGCTTCACCATGTGGTGTTGGAGCCGTGTTACAGCAGAAGGATAAATCGGGAAATATCAGACCAGTTGCCTATGCTTCACGATCTTTGTCGCCTGCTTACAGGAATTACGTACAAATCGATAAAGAGGCATTGGCGATTCTGTTCTGAGTAACACGTTTTCAACACTGCCTTTTTGGAGAAACTTTCGACGCATTTACGGACCACAAGCTTCTACTTGGAATTCTAAAGAAAATAAACTAATACCTCAAATGACGTCGCTGAGAACGCGACGTTTGGCTCTAAAACTTGCATGTTATCGGTATCATTTGCGGTACACTCCTGGACAAGGGAATCTCACGGCGGATGCCTTAAGTCGTCTACCGTTACGAGATTTACCGTTACACACATCGAAGCCAGCGGAACTGGTTGATGGGTTGATGACTTGCTTATCACTGCTGCAAAAATACGAGTAGAAACAAAAAAGGACCCAGAACTCTCACGAGTGTTTCGTTTCATTTCATACGGGTGGCCAAAGGATGTTGGAGGCGCACTAAGTGGATTCCATAAAGGATCGTCGGAACTAAGTGTAGAGGATCGATGTTTACTATGGGGAGCAAGAGCGATAAATCTGAGGCACTATGTCCGGACATTTTAGGGGGGTTACATTCAGGCCATCCAGGTAACACGCGAAAAAATCTTTAGCCAGATACTATGTCTGCTGGCCTGGTATCGATCACGATGTGGAAGTGATCGTGCGGTGTGAAGCGTCTAAGTAAAGTAGGTCTTTGCACGCAGCGGTGCCCATATCAACATGGCAGTGGCCGTCACGACCTTGGAGCCACATACACGTGGGTTATTGTGGCCCTGTTGAAGATTACATGATCCTGGTGAGGGTCGAGCCACATAAGCGGTGCCCATTAGAGCTGCATCCAGTGCGTCCACCATGTGTATATTTCGCAACACTTTCGCATCCATTGGTGTACCGGACACGATTGTTTCTGATAGCGTCATGACTTTTACAAGTGTGGAATTTCAAACGTTTTTGAGAAACAACGGGATTGTTTTATCAGCACCATACCGTCCCGCTTCCAACGGCCTGGTGGAACGCGTGGTGGCAACGGTAAAGAATGGATCGATGAAACAAAGCCCGGGCCCCCTACAAATTAGGTTAGGCAAGGTTTGCTGCGGTACAGAAGTACGCCGCACACTAAGACGGGTCAGAATCTTTGCGACTCGCAAATGGGACGAAGACGTTGAACACAATTGGATCTACTGCTGCCGGATGTGGCGCGTAAGGTCAAATAACGGTAGTATTTCACGAAGCAAAATGCAAATAAACACGCCCGACCTTGCACGTTGCGTGGTGGCGTGGAATTTTACGTCAAACGTCAGCTTTCAGATAGTGAATGGGTGCGTGGATGTGTGAAGTCGACAAACAGTAACCTTATCGACATGTTGTCAGAAGACGGAAGGATAATGCGCAGTCATCTGGACCATTTTAGAACTAGAGAAAGTGGACCAGATGAGAAAGAATCACTTGAGCCGGCAGTGCAGGTGGCTTCCGGACTGAAACAAGAGAGTTTGGAAACAACAACAGATGCATCAAGGTGCCTGCACCGATCGGCTAGGGAGTGAAGGCCGGTCGAACGTAATCAAGTTAGGGATGGCTATATCTAGCTGTGGAGGACCGTAGTGGCTGCTTCGGTGTGTCGGAGAATTTGTGCGTTTGTGTGTTCGTCCGTCGTTTCACCATCGATCTGGCGTGTGACTTGAATGGCTGATTGGTTTGCTTACTCGTCACGAAGCTGGACCGGTTGGCCGCGTGTACACATTACGCCCTTGTCATTACTTACGTGTATCTTTGACTCACTGTGAACCTAAACAATAGGCGAATGAAACTGGACTGTACGTGCTCACATATCTTTATCGGTAATTTGGTGCAATATTGATGACTTGGATGGGTTGGTTGGTAATTGATCAGGTAGCTGTTGATCTGTTCGCCCAGCTTTGCAAGAAATTTTAACTGAAGATCTCTGAGAAGCACAACCCAACCAACTCGACAACCGGAAACACAAGCAAAACAAACACACTACCATATATCAGAAACATCTCGGAGATTACCGTCAGGATACTACGACAGCATGCCACAAAATTTGCCCACAGACCAACTGATACGCTGCGAAGAGCACTACCAAAACCAAAGGGGATACTTAATGAGATGGAGAAGACAAACGCAGTCTACAAAATTCAATGCAACGATTGTGGAAGACACTACGTGGGACACACAGAGAGGAAACTGTCAACCAGAATCAATCAACACAAGCTGGGCACTAGGAGACAAGACTAACTCTCCCTCATCTCCGCACGCGAAGATGGAGAAGGGTACAAATTCGATTGGAATAACGTCAGCATACCGGGCATGGCAAGAACGAAGAAAGAACTCGAGTCCATGGAGTCGTGGTACCCTACTGATGGAGCAATAAACAGGCCCACTGAGATTGATCCTGTCCACCTGCCACTGAGGACAAAGTAAATCCAAAACCCCCAGACCCATGACCGAACAAGAAATAAAAGAAGTCAATGAAACAACAAACTACTAAGAATAGGAGGTACACTACAAACTATCAGAAAAGCCGATCACGTTGCAATACAGACCAAGAACGGATCAACCGAAAGGGACAAACTTAAACGTGGTTTCGAGACTTCGGCATTGCAGACTTCACAAGAATGCGCATCTTTCCTGAACGAGTTAAACTGAAGCCAGCTTCAGTGGAGGAATTTTATAAAATCATTGCCCAGAAAGTTCACGAGGCTGCCGCAATGTTAGTCCAAAAAAACAGCACACACTCGGATGAGCCGCAGGCTTCCTGAAAGGATTC